TCAACACTTCCCAACTCAACACGATTGCGTTAGAAAAGTTCTAAAAATACCTTGTTATAGCCGTAAAGGTGAACAGAAGGAAATCAATTGAGGGGCAGCCTTAGTAAACTTCCTTTGCACAATCCTTATCACTGATAACTATTTGAAATAGTTTATAATTTGCCCTATTTATTCTTAAATCCTATCCACATGAAAGCAACTTTCTGATTATTCCTGAAAAAACTTAAGAATGACGACCTCTAACTTGAGATTCTTGACTTCCGAGTCGAAAATTCGTCGTCGGAAATCGGGAGTGGATGTCGGAAGTAGGAAGTCGGACGTCGGAAGCTGGAAGTCGAAAGTCCTTCTTAGCTTTCTGAAAAAGATGTTCTGCTTTAACTTGGAACCTACCTTTGTAATAAGTGCTGTAAAAGGGAGCTCTGTTGGTCGTGTAATGGCGCTCAAAGTTGGTATTGAAGAGTTCGTAAGTCTCCATAGCAGTTTTAGGGAGAGTGCAAGATTCGACGAAATTGCAAAGCTTGCCGTTCAGGTCGATATAGTCTACTAATGGAACTTCTCACAGTCCCGGGAAAGAATCTACAGATTAGGTTTGAAAAAAAAAAAGAGAGTTAAAATGATCGTGCAGCATGACAATTTCCCAAGTATTATCTACAGTTTTTCACTGATTTAAATTCAATGTTTTTGGAAGCGCGTCTTCATTAGCGACGTAAAAGCAAAGCAAAGCAAAGCAAAGAAATTAGATCGGCCGGCGCGTGGTTGGCAATATTTCATTAACCCTTTACACCCTAACATTAACATTTGTAATCTCCACACTTTTCTCTTTATATTTCCCATGGTACTGACAAGGAGAATGTTTCTAACCATGAGGACTATTCCCTATATCCTCACGACTTTTTGCATTTGATCAAAGGGTGATCCTGTAAGGAGAAAGAAAAAAGCCAGTCACTATTGAGGGTCGAAGGGTCAAAACTTTAGCCTCTAAGCACGTTCTCATAGGTGCTAAGCACGAGTAACTCTACGCGCTTTTCTGGTACCCTTCACCGACCGGGAGGTCAACGAGGGGACTGGCACGAAAAAGTCCTCTTTGTTTGTGTGGGTCAGACTCCTTCCGGTACGGTGGCCCGTAGAGGACATGCCACATTTTTTTAATCGCACGATAAATGGAAATTATGGCGCGATAAATGATTAATTACGGCGCCATAAATGAAAAATTATCGCGCCATAAATGAAAAATTATCGCGCCATAAATGACAATGTTGCAGCCATTGTGACAAGGGCTGCAACAGTTGAGGAGGTATGTTTTGAGGTCAATAGTTCGTTTTATTTTCGTGAAAAGATTATTGCGAAAGTGTTGATTATCTAATCTTTCTGATTGTATCGCAGGTTCGTAAATTTCTAGATGTCACTTCTGCAACGCCAACCCTATCAAGAAAGTACTTTCTAACTGTTGCAGCCATTGTCGTCTCGTCCACGGAAAACAACGTGCGTGACAGCTGATCACGTGCGACCTAACAACTTTCCCATTTATCGCGCGATATTTTGATTTTATTGCGCGATAAATGTAATTTACCGAGCGATAAAAAAAATATGACTGTCGTCCTTGGGCCACCGTATTCCGACACTGAGACCTCTCGCGCGCTTTGCGAGAGGCCTGCGTGAAGTCACGCCAATGAGAGGCTGGATGACGCACTCCTACTCAAGCGCGCGGGAGTTACTACATCACGGGCGACGAGCGGGGATAGAAAAAACGACCCAAATATGAGTGGTCAGCGGTGAAACAACTTTCATATTTCATATATAGACAGATCATTTGTAGTATCAGGAAACAATCGTGTTGTAAAGCCGAAGTGTGAACAGTTTACTTCGCTAAATAAAATGTTAAGCAATTCAAAAGTGTTGATTGTACATATATCTTTTACTGCTTTAATAAACAACGAAGGCATCGGTGGCATCCGAAAGGTACCAAGAAAAATTAAATGTACGTTTTGTAGTTGCAGAAAACAATCGTGTTGTAAACCAAATAGACCTTTTAGGTAGAGATAAATGAATAAAAAAAAATAACAACAGCAATAACAACAAACACAAAGAAACTAAAATGAAATATAAATAGGTAGTTCAGACGCAGCTTCTCGCAAATCGCGTAAGACTGCCTTTGAAGAAATTTACCATAAACTCTGAAAGACGGCGATTCTTCTCAATTAAATTATCCCTGAATTAGGAGAGTCAGGATAGGAAACCGGAATCTGTGCACTTTAAAACACTGAGAGATTATATACCTGTTTGAGAAAATCTGTTGTGGTTTTTCTCTTTTGAATGGCTTTCTGTAAGTACATAACACGTGGAGTTCAATGCCTGAAATGAAACTAACAGATCATCCATCTCTGCTCTGTTTCCCTCGAAATATCCAAAACAATAATTGCCTTCAACAGAAAAGCCATTGAGATGTTCTTTCAAAAAGTCGATCTCTAAATCTCTTAACATTGTTGGCTTTTGGTCTTCATCCATGGCAAAATCTTCCAAGAAAAGGAAACTGCAGTGCGAAAATCAAGTTCCTGCCAAATTTGATTGACATTTTTGACAACCGGAAATCATGATACTTTTTTTTCGTCACGCACGTCACGCAGCTAGCTACAAACCATATATATAATTATTCTTGGTGCCTTTCCAAATGCCACTGACTCCCTCTCCGAAGCCTGCATTGTTTATAAAAGCAGTAAAAGATACGAGTTCAATCAACACTGTTGAAAATTTGCTTAAACTGTGAAGTAAACTGTTAACATTTCGGCTTCACAACACGATTGTCTCTGGAACAACAAATTATATGTCTCTATATGAAGTATAAAAGCTGTTTCACCGCTGACCACTCATATTTGGGTCGTTTTTTCTATCCCCGCTCGTCGCCCGTGATGTAGTAACTCCCCAAGCGCGCCTTCAGTCCTCGGGTTCTTAACATACAGTCTTTTGTATCGGATATTGACATTTGAAATTCACTAGGAAAACACCCTGTCACATGACAAAGGTGACAATCCAGAATGATGTCAGACCCCACAAAAATTGTGGTCTGGGGCCGACTCGTCGACTACATAAATCAAATAAATGGGATGCTGCCTCTGATGTCCTAAAAGTTGAGGCCAGACAATGGGCACTACGTAAATCAGAAAGGGAGAAAAGGCCATATAACAAATCAAATACAGAATACTGGGAAAAAGATCTCCTTGAGACAAGGAGCAAGAAAAGGAAAACAACATTTGATCCTGAAGAACCTTGAGTAATCCTTAGTTTACCATGAGGGTAACATATATATCTAGGGTAGTTTCAGTGACCACCACTGCACTGAACAATGGAGAGAACTCAGTATTGAAAAATAGAACAATAACAACAATGATTGGGATAGCAATCTCAAATACTACAAAACTATTGATTTTTTTGTTCTTTGGATTGTAAAAATGTTCTCTTAAAGCTAGCATTCAATGAAGTGGAGGTCTACTCTTGTGTCCTATATACTTACTTAACAAATTGAAAAACAGCCTGCACACTGCAAGTACTTCTAGATTGTAAATATGAAAAATTTGACTCAATATAAGAATATGTGATGAACTACTACAAAAATATAGATTTTCTATTTTGTAATAAATACACAATGCCAAATAGAATCAAATCAAGTCTTGTTTTCTTTAATTTGTCTCATGTCAGGCTACATGCTGCTTTACAAAAAGAAATACTCAATTTTTCTGGCCTATATCGTGGGCAAGGTGTAATTGACTCCCCTGTCAAGCTATGAGTCTTTGGACTCCATGAAAAAAACAATCTGACCTTCACAGGAAAGTCAATTTGCACCCCATCGCCTATACTATCTATTAGCCTGTGCCACCCATTAGGAAAGTGGCATCTTATAAAATCCTGTTTTTCAAAGAGGATGTATCCACTGTCATTACTTTTCCGTCCCTTATCTTTAAACAAAAAGTTAAAATAAGTGTGGTTAAAAGCAATGACAGTGGGTAATTGAGACTTTGATTTTAATTGCTCTAAAATACCAATGTGGAGACCCTCACTGGCATCAGCAATCTCTTGCTGTGTGAGCCTTGGGTTGTTGAATGACCTAAGGGCAAGGAAAAAACATTCATCTTAAAAAATAGCATTACAATTTTTACATTGAATAGGAAATTATTACATACAAGCACAGAATATCAACAGAGAAAACCAATGTAACGGATTTCTCCTGTTTTTTGTGTAATTATAAAGCTGTTAATCACACATGATATCTCACCTCAAAGCAAAGGCGTTTAAATTCTCTTCTGGCTCCCAGGAGTTTTGTAGGCTCGAGTAGCCCTTCCACTTGATGAAATATTCAATCTAGACCAACGATTGAGTAAGGTTTAACGAGTATTCGTTATGAAAGAGAGATTCATTTCAGTCAAACACTCGGAGCAAAGCAGATTCGCTTACCTTTTTCTTACTGACTCTTTTTGAAACGACTCTTTCGATCTCGTAGAATCTAGATTTTTTTCTCTTTCTCTCTGTGTAAAAATCCGCGGTACTGAGATCATTCAGCGATTTGTAAAACAAAATTCTTGGCATTTCGCTCACTGATAGCTTTCCGACTGCTTCACAACCAAGCTACGCAGACTCAGCAGGGTCGAAATGTACAGAATAGAGCCCGCGTCACGAACCGCTGACTGTCCTAAATTTCTGCCCATGCGTCTCTTGATGTAACATGTGATCGACAGACAAAAGCACTCTAGCCTCGTCTACAAAGAACGATGCACACAATGGCCAATATGTTTTCGTACATTACACTTCTGTTGTGCGCCATAGCCATCAATGAGGCTTGTAAATGTGCAGTACCACATCCACAGACTCAATTTTGTAATGCAGACTTTGGTAAGACTTATAGACCTGTTTACTGTATTCATCTAGTTCTTAGTGCTTTTCATGGGAACTTTACAACCGTGATATGTTTTCTTCGCGACTTGCAATTTGTTGACACCGCATAGCAGGACGCTCCGGACATATTTAATCGATTTACACTTTCCTTGACATGGGATGCCAAACTATTGAGCCACCTCGAAAAATTGATTGAAAAAAGTGTCTCTGTTCTATGATGCGCCTTTATACCATTTCCTGTAGTCTAGATGCGTCTTCGCAATCTAACATCGTAGAGGAACTTAAACTGCTCAGACCAAATTCAAGTTTAAAAGGCGATCATTAGATAAACCCACGCAAATTTTTCAAGTGAAGCTTCGATTTTTATACTCTGAACTTGGGAAGGAACGCCTTTGCAATTATAATTTCTGTTTAAATTCCGCTTTGAAACATAAGTCTGAAATGAAAGCAAAAGTAAATTTTTAAAAAGTCCGATTAGTTTGGCTTTTGCCCCCTGAAATTCTCTGTAATCTTGTTTCAAAATCGGTACCAATGTGAAACTTCTTTATTCTAACTAAAAAGATTATCAATCTGCTTTCGTAGTTCTGCCTTTGTATAAACTTCTGTTAGTTACATTATTCCGTATCAAATAGAACAGACTTACGTACAGTTTTCAGTTAATTAAAAAATAAATTTATTTGCTAAGTAACGTCTTTGATAAGGAACCAGCATTTTTCACTGCAGTTTGAGTTTCTTGGGTAGCATATGACAAGTAAGCAAGTTTTACCGTACTGAAGACGCCAAACAATGGAGTTTGTACTGGATCAGGGCCAATAAGTCGTGATGGCATTCGGAAACCGCATGCCACAATACAAAATCCGCCATAGATTAAAGGCCATAAAGATTAGTTTTGCCAGAAAAATAAACTTCAAAATGACCTCTATGTTAACTTAAGTTATAGTTCAAGACACATTTCGTGCTTTGTGCGGAAATCGATGTTTGTACAATGCGGACGTTGGAGTAGGATAAGGAATATTATTTACCGTGAAGTTTTACGTTCAACCAAAGTGACCAGTTTGGGCAAAAGGTGAAAGATCTACTATCACACAATTGTGCCAATCTCGAACGATTTATCAGAGCGTTTGTTTTCAAGGTTGCCTACTCAGGAGGAATACTTAGCCAATACAAATATAACACGTGAAATTGCAGCTGAAAACGATGCCACATGGTAAAACAGTTCAAAGCGTTTCTGGTATGCACTTGTTTGCCTATGTACCGATTTCCTTTGTGACGAGGATGCACTGAATGCCAAAGGAACTTTCCACTCTCCCCTTTCCACTAATTTTTTCCATATGTTTCTCTCTCTTTCAAACGTTTCATTCATTTCTCTTTTTCCATCACATTTTCCTGGCCTTCCCGCGCGAATCAATTTAGTTCTGATCAAATCGGAAAAACTTGAAAAACGCCCGTACTGAAAGCCATATAGTTGAACCACATGTCGGACTATGATGCGTTTATTCAAGCGAAAAGGAACTGGGTTAATTTGTTAACTATTTGCTTCCTGTCTCTTGTGATAATTAGCTTTGACATCATCATATTGACATTTGAAATTCACTAGGAAAACACCCTGTCACATGACAAAGGTGACAATCCAGAATGATGTCAGACCCCACAAAAATTGTGGTCTGGGGCCGAAGTCTCTTGATGTAACATGTGATCGACAGACAAAAGCACTCTAGCCTCGTCTACAAAGAACGATGCACACAATGGCCAATATGTTTTCGTACATTACACTTCTGTTGTGCGCCATAGCCATCAATGAGGCTTGTAAATGTGTAGTAACACATCCACAGACTCAATTTTGTAATGCAGACTTTGGTAAGACTTATAGACCTGTTTACTGTATTCATCTAGTTCTTAGTGCTTTTCATGGGAACTTTACAACCGTGATATGTTTTCTTCGCGACTTGCAATTTGTTGACACCGCATAGCAGGACGCTCCGGACATATTTAATCGATTTACACTTTCCTTGACATGGGATGCCAAACTATTGAGCCACCTCGAAGAATTGATTGAAAAAAGTGTCTCTGTTCTATGATGCGCCTTTATACCATTTCCTGTAGTCTAGATGCGTCTTCGCAATCTAACATCGTAGAGGAACTTAAACTGCTCAGACCAAATTCAAGTTTAAAAGGCGATCATTAGATAAACCCACGCAAATTTTTCAAGTGAAGCTTCGATTTTTATACTCTGAACTTGGGAAGGAACGCCTTTGCAATTATGTTTTCTGTTTAAATTCCGCTTTGAAACATAAGTCTGAAATGAAAGCAAAAGTAAATTTTTAAAAAGTCCGATTAGTTTGGCTTTTGCCCCCTGAAATTCTCTGTAATCTTGTTTCAAAATCGGTACCAATGTGAAACTTCTTTATTCTAACTAAAAAGATTATCAATCTGCTTTCGTAGTTCTGCCTTTGTATAAACTTCGGTTCGTTACATTATTCCGTATCAAATAGAACAGACTTACGTACAGTTTTCAGTTAATTAAAAAATAAATTTATTTGCTAAATAACGTCTTTGATAAGGAACCAGCATTTTTCACTGCAGTTTGAGTTTCTTGGGTAGCATATGACGAGTAAGCAAGTTTTACCGTACTGAGGACGCCAAACAATGGAGTTTGTATTGGATCAGGGCCAATAAGTCGTGATGGCATTCGGAAACCGCATGCCACAATACAAAATCCGCCATAGATTAAAGGCCATAAAGATTAGTTTTGACAGAAAAATAAACTTCAAAATGACCTCTATGTTGACTTAAGTTATTGTTCAAGACACATTTCGTGCTTTGTGCGGAAATCGATGTTTGTACAATGCAGACGTAGGAGTAGGATAAGGAATATTATTTACCTTGAAGTTTTACGTTCAACCAAAGTGACCAGTTTGGGCAAAAGGTGAAAGATCTACTATCACACAGTTGTGCCAATCTCGAATGATTTCTCAGAGCGTTTGTTTTCAAGGTTGTCTATTCAGGAGTAATACTTAGCCAATACAAATATAACACGTGAAATTGTAGCTGAAAACGATGCCACACGGTAAAACAGTTCAAAGCGTTTCTGGTATGCACTTGTTTGCCTATGTACCGAATTCCTTTATGACGAGGATGCACTGAATGCCAAAGGAACTTTCCACTATCTCCACTTTCCACTAATTTTTTCCATATGTTTCTCTCTCTTTCAAACGTTTCATTCATTTCTCTTTTTCCATCACATTTTCCTGGCCTTCCCGCGCGAATCAATTTAGTTCTGACCAAATCGGAAAAACTTAAAAAACGTCCGTACTGAAAGCCATATAGTTAAACCACAAGTCGGACTATGATGCGTTTATTCAAGTGAAAAGGAACTGGGTTAATTTGTTAACTATTTGCTTCCTGTCTCTTGTGATAATTAGCTTTGACATCATCATGACTTCCGTTCAGGTTTCCGCAATGTCTTTCACTGTCGTGAACAACAGCACTTTCCAGGATTACACTCGAGTGGAAAATGTTACCACACGATCGACTTCATTCCCCGCAAAGCTTTTGTTTCCAACAGACAGGTCATCTGAACACCTGTCATTGTTAACGATCACACTATTCGTTTCAAATTACCCTTGTGCAAACAAGATCTCTTTTGTGACTCCTCATACTGCTTGCCATACGAAGTTAGTTCGGAAAAAAAATATCAATTAGGGGATTATTAGTTGATCTGATACCAAATTCTCCAAACTAACATCATAAGAATTGTGTGGCGGAAGGTAAGGAGAATTACCGATAAGATCTCTGTATTGAAAGGGTTAACAGAAGTAAGTAAATACCGAATGGCTTTCGACACTCAATTTTATAGACTGACAGTGCTGTTTTTCTCCGACCCCTAGCAATTCGTGCCAGAGTTTTGAGGGAGTCACGAGAAAACGGCAAGAAAATTTACTCGCTCCGAGTTCTACGAACCTTTAAAGGTAATTCAACAATCGACCGCATGGCGAGGACTCAAGGCAAGGGGAAGAACACGAAAAGGGTGATTGACGTCGCAACACAGAACGAAACCGCTGCCTGTGGCGTACTACTCGACATTTCGAAGGTCTACCTACTTTTCGGTGACGTAGAGACACGTACAGACAGGCAGTTGTTAACAACCAACAACTGTCAATGGCATGCTTTGTGGCAAAACATCTCTGTGCAACAACGCCGCGGGCTCAAGAGGGTTTATGGGCCGAACTGCCGATGTAAAATTGAAAAGTTCTGTTATAAGAGTCCTCCGAGCTTATGCGACGATATGATTGGTGGATGCGACAAGCCCGCTGCTGGCAGTCGCCTGACCGATTGCCAAAGGGAGCATTCTTATTGCACTAAGACTGGTGACAAGTGTAGGTGGATCCTTTCAAGAAAGGCTGCTTTCAAAAAATGCTTGCAATAGAGAAGAGTCTATGCCTCTACATGACCAGATAAAGTCTTTTTTCAATACTTCGAAGTCGATTGCTACCGACATTTTAGCGTAGAACGGATGTTCATCGACTGATCTTAACCCTTAAAATGTGATTCATGTAATCCCTTCCTTTAGCTGATATGTATTCCGTGGTAAATTAGTTATGTATTTGGAAAAATAAGGAAATAAAATGTGCCTATTCAGAAATGGTTTGCCAAGCTCTTGGCTCGTCGCTGTTCATGGCAAAGTATAGAAAGGTGTGTTTATTCTGAGTCTCAATGCTGAAACACTGCAACCAAATGATCCTTTTCCTAGAATAGGAAAAAGCTGCGACAATGAGTTTTATCTAGGTTATAAGTCGTGGAGAGTTTCTAAGCTGACGTTAGAGGCATTAGCCCTCATGATGGGAGGGTCATGAAACCTAATTGTCTTGTAATATACCTCAAACGACGCAGCACCACAGTTTCTTAGGAAACGTTTTTAGAGAGTGAGGTCATCAGAATAATGAAATCATCACCAGCTGAAGAAGCTTTGATTGTTAAACAAATTCTCCTTGTCAGCACCCTAGAAAAGGTATAGTGAACAGTATGGAGAATATGCATACTGATGTTAGGGTGTAAGGATTAAACGAATTATTTTACTTACCGGTCGGACAAGGCTCGATAACACAATCTTGGGTTGATTGGTAGTCCAGCGTATAAGGCCATAGAGGTGGGTCCCTAAAGAGCTGAGTAGGCATCGAAGACTCGTACAGGAAACCCAGGTTCCGAAGCGCCCTGAACTCCGTGTTTCCACCAACCTGGATGTAGGGAGCCCTGTAACCCATGATATCTTCCACTTGGACGTTGCCCCATTTGCGTAAAATCTCTCTCATGCCTCCTATCTCCAGCTCCTGTTCTTCCTCAGTTGCAGTTGCCCACCAGGTTTGTGGAAGACGACGGGAGATGGAGTTGTCAGCGATTTCGTGGCGTTGGTGGTACAACGTTTGCAGCATGCAATAGTTCGTGTACTCGTGTGACACGAAAAATGTAGCAGAGATGTTGCAACCATTGGGGTTTTTCAACCTGCCGTTGAATAGCTCTTCGTACAGAGGAAAGGCATTGTCAACCAAAGCGGCATCAAATGAGATCATTACAATCTGAGGTGTCGAGAACGGTGATAAATTGCCAGGGATTTTGGTTCCGCTGCAGAAGCAGTCGGGCAGTGTGCAAATATTTGGGTCGCATGGCTCAGCTGAATCTGCTGCTTTAGCTTGCAAAAGCAATACTAACAAGATGATAAGGGGTGTAACAGCTCTTGAAGAAGACATATTCAACTGCTTTGTGCACTTTGCTACGGAGACCTTTTTATAGAAAAGTTCCTCGTTTAGGCCTGTCCGTCGAGACTGTCAAAAAATTCCCTGATGAAGTAAAGTGTTAATTTTTATTTTTCTGGTTACACATCATATGTTATTTTCGACAACAGGAAGTGAACCAGTAGAATTCCAAAATCAACCTCTTTCAAGAATTTTGTGAAACTAATTACGAATCAAAAACCTGTTTAAGAAAGCAGAAATTATTTGCTTTCCTGAATTAAGTTTTTTTCTTTTTTTTCATCAAATTAGATTTAGCTCAATTTAATTGACCTTGGATAACCTCTAATTCTTAGAAAGATTTAGCAAATAGTGATTTATTTCAGTCTTTTTGTGACATGTTTTAGTTTTTACAGGAATAGAAGTATTTCACGCAAGCACTGTCATATTGATATATTCCTTTATTTCTCAACCTTTCCTTGAAATGGCGTCAAATTTTGAATTCGTCACGCGCCTCACCCCCTTCGCGACGATTGCGTGAGAAGCACTCAGATCATGGTTCCTAACCCCCTGGAGTTAGGGGAGGTGACCCGCCTGTCCATGCATGTAATCTCTTATTTTATCTTGATCACGTGTACATGATAGATGGGGTGACCTGCATAGGCGGGTTGCACGGTCTGCTGGGTAGGGTAACCCTTTCAGCCGGGGCGACAATTTGCCAAGTAACGTCTCAAGGTGAGGTAGCCCGCCTAGCCGGGGTCGCATTCATGTTACAAAAAGATCAGATGAGCCAAACAATAGCGAAACAGATATGTTTTAAAACTGTTTCATTTTTCTTGGCCGTCCCATACTGAACTAAAACGTTTAAACACCAACTTTACGTCCCCTTGAAAACTCGATAGCAATTTAGTCATGTTTTAGCTTTCAACTCAACAGTACATTCACATGTTATGCCGAAGTGAAGACGTCGCACCGTCAGAAACATAACGCATCGATAAAAAAAAATAGATGAAAACAAATTCACTTTTTTCGGCAACGTTTTATCACAAGTCGCCGTCGTGATATCTTAACTCCCTAACTGAAAGCGCGACAACAACCTCGAGAAACTTCACCCCGGCATCCCGGGTTTGTAAGATTGTATGTAAACGCGGACTATTTTCGACCACTGCTAAACAGGCCCTAAAAGTAATCGGATCATTTGATATTTTTTTTGTCACGTCAAGATATCGACAGTGATCGATGAAAGCTGTCAAATTGGGGGGGATCACGGTGTTTGTTCAAGTTTGCAAGTGATGCGAAACTACCACGAAATTCCGGAAATAAAAAAATAGTGTGACGCCTAAATTGACGTCACGCGACGACGGGTTTTACCCAGAAACGGAATTTCAGTCGGCTATAAATCAATGCGACTTGTACTAACTTCGTCTTTGAGTCACTGCTAAGAGAGAAACAGGATCAGTTGAAAGTCAACAGCTCAGCGATTTGAAGATCATGTCGTAGCTAATCAATACAGCATTCGTTTTGATCTTGATGTGTGTGGAAAGTGCCTCCGAAGCAGTCCTTAAGTTTCGTGGACATGAACCAGCTCAGCCATGTTCACCAGATATTTGCAAGCTTCCCGACTGCCGTTGTAGCGGAACAGACATCCCTGGAAATCTTCCACCAAATAAAGTTCCGCAAATGGTTATGTTGACCTTCGATGACGCTGTAAATGACCAAGTGGACAGATATTACCAGGATCTATTTGGGACTGGCGAACTGAAAAATCCAAACGGTTGTACCGTAACAGCCACTTTCTTCGTGTCGCACGAGTACACGGAGTATCAAATGGTACAAGCGCTGTACCACAACAGGCACGATATTGCAGATCATACAATCTCACACAGAACCCCTACTTCCTGGTGGAAATCAGCAAATTACAGTCAGCTGACGGACGAAATTGCGGGACAGAGGGAAATTTTAAGAAAGTGGGGACAGGTCAAGGCAGAGGACGTCGTTGGATTCCGTGTACCCTTCTTGCAGCTCGGGGGCAACACAATGTATCAAGTTCTGCATGATAACAAGTTCCTGTATGACTCGTCCATGCCAACCCAGAAGTTTACGGATCCGCCGATGTGGCCCTACACGCTGGATTATCGATCGACACAAGAATGCGTTATTCCGCCATGTCCTACAGGTGATTATACCCCAAAGAAATCACGGACTTGAATTGCATTATTTTAAGCGCCGATATATTCGAAGCATCAAATTTCCCCCTGAAACACACGGGCATTTGATTGTCGTCCGTGTCCGAGGAGTGGGAAATTTGAACCTTGCGCGGGTTGGGTGAGAACTTTAACCGGAACTGTCATTCGGTCAAGTCTTTCAGCGGCAAGCACGTGTTTTATCTTTTAATAAGGAAGATTTTGAAGGAAAAGAGTTCACTTTCGCGCGCAGATGGCTCAGAAGAAAAGGTCTACAAATTCATCTCTTGGGTAGAGCATAAGAACCCTATTTTGGCTCAGGAGGGGCGTAAATTTGTACAAACCAATCTTCAAAAGTTCAAATGCCAGGGTGGTTGCCCGGGGGGATGTTGAAGCTTCGAATTGATCAACACATTACCTGCCCGACTGTCGGGCGGGAGAGCCAGGGAAAAATAAGATAATAATATCTCTTTGTTCCGGTCACCTAAACTTGTCGTAGGTTGTGAAACAGCAATAGAAAAGGCCGCGCTTGGACGAGAAGGACTGGTGTCCTGTGTTAATCTAGCTGGCTTATCGCGCAGAGTGACAAGTGAGTAGGTAGGATCTTATGTTTGGTATGTTTTGTCTTACGCTGTATTTTGTTTTTCAGATTCATTCCCTGGTCTTTGGGAGGTTCCTATGATCGACTACACCGATTCACGAGGAAATCCATGCAATATGATTGACGAATGCTACGCATCAGCCAATGAAACGGAAGCATATGATCTATTGTCGACGAATTTTGAGCGACATTACACCACCTTGAACAGAGCACCATTCCCCATGTTTCTGCACGCTGGATGGTTTGCGAGATATCCATACACTTTAACTGGTAAGGATACAAGAATCCTATCAGGACTGATGCCAGTATCTGGGCAACTGCGCACCTACCCCTCCCCTAACCCAACGACAGTAAACTGAAAACAATTTAGGGTTAAAGTTGAGTTTAGGGAGGGGTATTTGCATTTCTAAAAATTAAAAAACAACATTTTTCTACAGCATTAAAATTTATAGAAGGCGAGGTTACCCAGGAAGCCGATTCAACTCACTTACAACAATGTATTCAAAAAAGAATAAGCGCTGCAAATGTGCAGCTCGGCCAAATTAGTGATCATTTAAGTAAAAACTCGTGCATTTTCGCCTCAAAGCTAGGAAAATTTGATTGATTTTATTTGAAACAGGAAGAGAAAACTCGTGCATTTTCGTCTCAAAGCTAAGATTTGACAAATTAGATTTGATTGAAACAGGAAGAAGGTTCCAAATTTTAGCAACTTTTGATATTCCGATGAGCAACTTTCCAGCATTTTAAGAGCATAATCGGGACGTGGTAAAAGAGTTTCTAAAGCTAACGTTATGAGCATTCGCCCTTTGTCAGTAACTATATGGGTAAGGTTTCATCCGGGTCAGTTTCCATTCAGGTCCAATTTTATCTGGATCAGTTTCCATCTGGGTTTCCTACCCATGGGTAATTTGGCGGACACAGCGGGGCGCACGTCTTCATCACGTGATCCGGGGGATAGTAACACGTTTTGCAAGTGCCAAGAGGACAGTCGGGTGGGGGTTGGGAATCACATTTCCAGGGAACAAAGTCCTCAATATTTTCTAGTGGTGTTGGAAACTTGATCCACTCAATGGCTTGGGAAACCGTGACTATCCATACGTCGCTCATGGACGTCAATGTTTTTAGAAAGTCTACGGTTCCTGTCAAGAGAAAGAGAATTAACAAAACAATTTTTTAAAAATTGAACAGAAAGCAATTTTTGGACAAATATCATAACTCATTATCATGTGTGTCAGCTAAGGCCACCCCAATTAATTCTTAGAGGTTCTCAACGTACGTCTGCCGAAGTCAGGGGATGAGATATGATGGAGAACGTACGCGTATCAAAGGCGAGCCTCTCTCAGTGACGTCACGGCGCACAGTAGAATCCAAGTCTAACAACAGCGAGGGAAGAATATGATCTGCGATTCAGTATTCATCAACACTTCCCAACTCAACACGATTGCGTTAGAAAAGTTCTAAAAATACCTTGTTATAGCCGTAAAGGTGAACAGAAGGAAATCAATTGAGGGGCAGCCTTAGTAAACTTCCTTTGCACAATCCTTATCACTGATAACTATTTGAAATAGTTTATAATTTGCCCTATTTATTCTTAAATCCTATCCACATGAAAGCAACTTTCTGATTATTCCTGAAAAAACTTAAGAATGACGACCTCTAACTTGAGATTCTTGACTTCCGAGTCGAAAATTCGTCGTCGGAAATCGGGAGTGGATGTCGGAAGTAGGAAGTCGGACGTCGGAAGCTGGAAGTCGAAAGTCCCTTCTTAGCTTTCTGAAAAAGATGTTCTGCTTTAACTTGGAACCTACCTTTGTAATAAGTGCTGTTAGCTAGCCACTGTTCCTCTAAGAGCATGTAAAAGGGAGCTCTGTTGGTCGTGTAATGGCGCTCAAAGTTGGTATTGAAGAGTTCGTAAGTCTCCATAGCAGTTTTAGGGAGAGTGCAAGATTCGACGAAATTGCAAAGCTTGCCGTTCAGGTCGATATAGTCTACTAATGGAACTTCTCACAGTCCCGGGAAAGAATCTACAGATTAGGTTTGAAAAAAAAAAAGAGAGTTAAAATGATCGTGCAGCATGACAATTTCCCAAGTATTATCTACAGTTTTTCACTGATTTAAATTCAATGTTTTTGGAAGCGCGTCTTCATTAGCGACGTAAAAGCAAAGCAAAGCAAAGCAAAGAAATTAGATCGGCCGGCGCGTGGTTGGCAATATTTCATTAACCCTTTACACCCTAACATTAACATTTGTAATCTCCACACTTTTCTCTTTATATTTCCCATGGTACTGACAAGGAGAATGTTTCTAACCATGAGGACTATTCCCTATATCCTCACGACTTTTTGCATTTGATCAAAGGGTGATCCTGTAAGGAGAAAGAAAAAAGCCAGTCACTATTGAGGGTCGAAGGGTCAAAACTTTAGCCTCTAAGCACGTTCTCATAGGTGCTAAGCACGAGTAACTCTACGCGCTTTTCTGGTACCCTTCACCGACCGGGAGGTCAACGAGGGGACTGGCACGAAAAAGTCCTCTTTGTTTGTGTGGGTCAGACTCCTTCCGGTACGGTGGCCCGTAGAGGACATGCCACATTTTTTTAATCGCACGATAAATGGAAATTATGGCGCGATAAATGATTAATTACGGCGCCATAAATGAAAAATTATCGCGCCATAAATGAAAAATTATCGCGCCATAAATGACAATGTTGCAGCCATTGTGACAAGGGCTGCAACAGTTGAGGAGGTATGTTTTGAGGTCAATAGTTCGTTTTATTTTCGTGAAAAGATTATTGCGAAAGTGTTGATTATCTAATCTTTCTGATTATATCGCAGGTTCGTAAATTTCTAGATGTCACTTCTGCAACGCCAACCCTATCAAGAAAGTACTTTCTAACTGTTGCAGCCATTGTCGTCTCGTCCACGGAAAACAACGTGCGTGACAGCTGATCACGTGCGACCTAACAACTTTCCCATTTATCGCGCGATATTTTGATTTTATTGCGCGATAAATGTAATTTACCGAGCGATAAAAAAAATATGACTGTCGTCCTTGGGCCACCGTATTCCTGAGACCTCTCGCGCGCTTTGCGAGAGGCCTGCGTGAAGTCACGCCAATGAGAGGCTGGATGACGCACTCCTACTCAAGCGCGCGGGAGTTACTACATCACGGGCGACGAGCGGGGATAGAAAAAACGACCCAAATATGAGTGGTCAGCGGTGAAACAACTTTCATATTTCATATATAGACAGATCATTTGTAGTATCAGGAAACAATCGTGTTGTAAAGCCGAAGTGTGAACAGTTTACTTCGCTAAATAAAATGTTAAGCAATTCAAAAGTGTTGATTGTACATATATCTTTTACTGCTTTAATAAACAACGAAGGCATCGGTGGCATCCGAAAGGTACCAAGAAAAATTAAATGTACGTTTTGTAGTTGCAGAAAACAATCGTGTTGTAAACCAAATAGACCTTTTAGGTAGAGATAAATGAATAAAAAAAAAAATAACAACAGCAATAACAACAAACACAAAGAAACTAAAATGAAATATAAATAGGTAGTTCAGACGCAGCTTCTCGCAAATCGCGTAAGACTGCCTTTGAAGAAATTTACCATAAACTCTGAAAGACGGCGATTCTTCTCAATTAAATTATCCCTGAATTAGGAGAGTCAGGATAGGAAACCGGAATCTGTGCACTTTAAAACACTGAGAGATTATATACCTGTTTGAGAAAATCTGTTGTGGTTTTTCTCTTTTGAATGGCTTTCTGTAAGTACATAACACGTGGAGTTCAATGCCTGAAATGAAACTAACAGATCATCCATCTCTGCTCTGTTTCCCTCGAAATATCCAAAACAATAATTGCCTTCAACAGAAAAGCCATTGAGATGTTCTTTCAAAAAGTCGATCTCTAAATCTCTTAACATTGTTGGCTTTTGGTCTTCATCCATGGCAAAATCTTCCAAGAAAAGCAAACTGCAGTGCGAAAATCAAGTTCCTGCCAAATTTGATTGACATTTTTGACAACCGGAAATCATGATACTTTTTTTTCGTCACGCACGTCACGCAGCTAGCTACAAACCATATATATAATTATTCTTGGTGCCTTTCCAAATGCCACTGACTCCCTCTCCGAAGCCTGCATTGTTTATAAAAGCAGTAAAAGATACGAGTTCAATCAACACTGTTGAAAATTTGCTTAAACTGTGAAGTAAACTGTTAACATTTCGGCTTCACAACACGATTGTCTCTGGAACAACAAATTATATGTCTCTATATGAAGTATAAAAGCTGTTTCACCGCTGACCACTCATATTTGGGTCGTTTTTTCTATCCCCGCTCGTCGCCCGTGATGTAGTAACTCCCCAAGCGCGCCTTCAGTCCTCGGGTTCTTAACATACAGTCTTTTGTATCGGATATTGACATTTGAAATTCACTAGGAAAACACCCTGTCACATGACAAAGGTGACAATCCAGAATGATGTCAGACCCCACAAAAATTGTGGTCTGGGGCCGACTCGTCGACTACATAAATCAAATAAATGGGATGCTGCCTCAGATGTCCTAACAGTTGAGGCCAGACAATGGGCACTACGTAAATCAGAAAGGGAGAAAAGGCCATATAACAAATCAAATACAGAATACTGGGAAAAAGATCTCCTTGAGGCAAGGAGCAAGAAAAGGAAAACAACATTTGATCCTGAAGAACCTTGAGTAATCCTTAGTTTACCATGAGGGTAACATATATATCTAGGGTAGTTTCAGTGACCACCACTGCACTGAACAATGGAGAGAACTCAGTATTGAAAAATAGAACAATAACAACAATGATTGGGATAGCAATCTCAAATACTACAAAACTATTGATTTTTTTGTTCTTTGGATTGTAAAAATGTTCTCTTAAAGCTAGCATTCAATGAAGTGGAGGTCTACTCTTGTGTCCTATATACTTACTTAACAAATTGAAAAACAGCCTGCACACTGCAAGTACTTCTAGATTGTAAATATGAAAAATTTGACTCAATATAAGAATATGTGATGAACTACTACAAAAATATAGATTTTCTATTTTGTAATAAATACACAATGCCAAATAGAATCAAATCAAGTCTTGTTTTCTTTAATTTGTCTCATGTCAGGCTACATGCTGCTTTACAAAAAGAAATACTCAATTTTTCTGGCCTATATCGTGGGCAAGGTGTAATTGACTCCCCTGTCAAGCTATGAGTCTTTGGACTCCATGAAAAAAACAATCTGACCTTCACAGGAAAGTCAATTTGCACCCCATCGCCTATACTATCTATTAGCCTGTGCCACCCATTAGGAAAGTGGCATCTTATAAAATCCTGTTTTTCAAAGAGGATGTATCCACTGTCATTACTTTTCCGTCCCTTATCTTTAAACAAAAAGTTAAAATAAGTGTGGTTAAAAGCAATGACAGTGGGTAATTGAGACTTTGATTTTAATTGCTCTAAAATACCAATGTGGAGACCCTCACTGGCATCAGCAATCTCTTGCTGTGTGAGCCTTGGGTTGTTGAATGACCTAAGGGCAAGGAAAAAACATTCATCTTAAAAAATAGCATTACAATTTTTACATTGAATAGGAAATTATTACATACAAGCACAGAATATCAACAGAGAAAACCAATGTAACGGATTTCTCCTGTTTTTTGTGTAATTATAAAGCTGTTAATCACACATGATATCTCACCTCAAAGCAAAGGCGTTTAAATTCTCTTCTGGCTCCCAGGAGTTTTGTAGGCTCGAGTAGCCCTTCCACTTGATGAAATATTCAATCTAGACCAACGATTGAGTAAGGTTTAACGAGTATTCGTTATGAAAGAGAGATTCATTTCAGTCAAACACTCGGAGCAAAGCAGATTCGCTTACCTTTTTCTTACTGACTCTTTTTGAAACGACTCTTTCGATCTCGTAGAATCTAGATTTTTTTCTCTTTCTCTCTGTGTAAAAATCCGCGGTACTGAGATCATTCAGCGATTTGTAAAACAAAATTCTTGGCATTTCGCTCACTGATAGCTTTCCGACTGCTTCACAACCAAGCTACGCAGACTCAGCAGGGTCGAAATGTACAGGATAGAGCCCGCGTCACGAACCGCTGACTGTCCTAAATTTCTGCCCATGCGTCTCTTGATGTAACATGTGATCGACAGACAAAAGCACTCTAGCCTCGTCTACAAAGAACGATGCACACAATGGCCAATATGTTTTCGTACATTACACTTCTGTTGTGCGCCATAGCCATCAATGAGGCTTGTAAATGTGCAGTACCACATCCACAGACTCAATTTTGTAATGCAGACTTTGGTAAGACTTATAGACCTGTTTACTGTATTCATCTAGTTCTTAGTGCTTTTCATGGGAACTTTACAACCGTGATATGTTTTCTTCGCGACTTGCAATTTGTTGACACCGCATAGCAGGACGCTCCGGACATATTTAATCGATTTACACTTTCCTTGACATGGGATGCCAAACTATTGAGCCACCTCGAAAAATTGATTGAAAAAAGTGTCTCTGTTCTATGATGCGCCTTTATACCATTTCCTGTAGTCTAGATGCGTCTTCGCAATCTAACATCGTAGAGGAACTTAAACTGCTCAGACCAAATTCAAGTTTAAAAGGCGATCATTAGATAAACCCACGCAAATTTTTCAAGTGAAGCTTCGATTTTTATACTCTGAACTTGGGAAGGAACGCCTTTGCAATTATAATTTCTGTTTAAATTCCGCTTTGAAACATAAGTCTGAAATGAAAGCAAAAGTAAATTTTTAAAAAGTCCGATTAGTTTGGCTTTTGCCCCCTGAAATTCTCTGTAATCTTGTTTCAAAATCGGTACCAATGTGAAACTTCTTTATTCTAACTAAAAAGATTATCAATCTGCTTTCGTAGTTCTGCCTTTGTATAAACTTCTGTTAGTTACATTATTCCGTATCAAATAGAACAGACTTACGTACAGTTTTCAGTTAATTAAAAAATAAATTTATTTGCTAAGTAACGTCTTTGATTAGGAACCAGCATTTTTCACTGCAGTTTGAGTTTCTTGGGTAGCATATGACAAGTAAGCAAGTTTTACCGTACTGAAGACGCCAAACAATGGAGTTTGTACTGGATCAGGGCCAATAAGTCGTGATGGCATTCGGAAACCGCATGCCACAATACAAAATCCGCCATAGATTAAAGGCCATAAAGATTAGTTTTGCCAGAAAAATAAACTTCAAAATGACCTCTATGTTAACTTAAGTTATAGTTCAAGACACATTTCGTGCTTTGTGCGGAAATCGATGTTTGTACAATGCAGACGTTGGAGTAGGATAAGGAATATTATTTACCGTGAAGTTTTACGTTCAACCAAAGTGACCAGTTTGGGCAAAAGGTGAAAGATCTACTATCACACAGTTGTGCCAATCTCGAACGATTTATCAGAGCGTTTGTTTTCAAGGTTGCCTACTCAGGAGGAATACTTAGC